CCAGGCATGCACATCCGGTAATCTCTTGTCACTTCATTCCATTAGTGTGTTCCCCAGGGAAATCCTGTCTGAGCATTCACACACACACACACACACACACACACACACTACTACTACTTATTGTATATGATCAGATGCGTCTGGAAATGACACTTGGGTGAACGTTGAATAATGACATTGGGGGCACCAGTGAAAAACTGACATCACTCATTTTTTTCTCTCATCATGTTATGACGAAGTGCACATAAATATAAACGTCTTTTTACTTCCTTTTCCATTTTATTGAAATTTACAGTCAACTTTCAGGACGGGGCTGCGGTCATATAAACGCTGCCTGGAAAAGTACAGAAGTAGGGAAGACGGGGCAACGATGGAGCGGTTCGAACCCGGGACTTTTGAGGTCACAATTTGGTGATCGAACCACGTGGTCAACACCACCGTGGTCAAAACCCAGCACATTTTTGGCGCGCTTATCGATTACAGCTGCCGGCTTTTCACACGTTGTCTCCCTTCATTCGATCAGACGACGGTTAAGGTTAATCCAAAAAACTGTACGATTGAATCACAGAACTCACAGAAACCGGTGCACAAAGTCAGAACTGAACTGAAATTTTTCGACGAACCTCTCTGGTGAGGATTCGCGCCAGACGGAATAAACAGCTCACTTGACGCCGTAGTCGAGGTGCCGAGATCGACAACAAGTTGGAACCACAGCATAACAAACCAACTTCCCGATAGTATTGGAAAAATGTTTTCTAATCCATGCGGTGTACGATAAGTAGTGCGGAGAAAGAATTCATGAAAACTGAGCATAAGCGACATTCAATCGCCGCACTGAGTTTGAGTTATAACGTGAATAAATCAGAGAGAGAGAGAGGGATTACTGGAAGGAAATAACATTAGATGGTAATCATTTTATTCTTTTTTCGGTTTGTGTTTTGGATGATGTGTCGAAAGAAATGAGTGCGGAGTTAAAAAAAATTGCAAATTCGTGGTTTCATCAACTTAAAGTTCAGCACTTGACAAACTCAGCAGACGCTACACGGCTGACAGTCATCACATTGTGCGAATGGCTCTATCAACGTTTAGAGTATCAAGCTCGGATTAACCCATTCGAATTTTCAGAGGCACCAGGCACTCTTGATGGTCTTCGGTGTAGGTTTCATTCCTTGGGAGACCGTTAATTCCCCACGAGATAATGCATTCAAATGCGATGGAAATTTTATTCCCAAATCCGATGTGGAATTCTTCTTTGTCCCTCTGAAATTTAAACACTTGTACCGAGTTCGTCGTGTCTTTTACTGTCCTTTTTCATGTATGTACCATTCAACGGGCTGCTACTTTTATGAGGTACTACTCAAACTTGTGAGTAGTTTACATGCACCAGAAGCAGTTGTTGGATTCTCACGATATTCGCGAGTGGATTCACGGATTTGCTATTGCATCTACAGAAGAGTTAAGCAGACTATCCGGCTGGCGATGACCGATGAAGAGACGATCACGAAAATATTAACCAATTGTTGCAAATTAGATTTTTCGTTCTGTGTGATCTTGTTTACCGCTATCCGATGCTATTCTCCGAATAACCAACCTTCTTCATGGCGGCTTTGGTGGTTTAATTCAACTGGGTTTGTGGCATTCACTTTCATATATGCGCCATATATCATAGCCCATCGGTAACAGTTATTTACCGGACACAGTCTCCAGACCTGATGGTTCATTGTCTCCGGAATCAGTTTTTCTTTATTCATGAAGCGCTGTCGTCAAATGGTCACAAAAGTCTTCGCTCAATACTGCATGTCAGATTATTTATCAAATTGAATAAATTATACCAAAACATTGATTACTACTACTATTACAACCGAGTTAAAACGTACATACCCTACATACTTGAAAAGCGTCATATTTGTGATGGATGCAGTACCTCATGTGTGTCATTGTGTGTGTGTGTGTGTGCGCGCGCGTGCGCTATGGAATATCGTCATTCTGTTTACATTTTGAAGTAGAGAACACCGAACAAAGAAAGGAAGTACTTTTGTGCGGCTGTGACCCGTGAACACAGACTATAGTTACGTTTCTGTGCTAGTTCTTGTACACCCCATCCGAAGTCCATGTGCGGATCATTTCACTGAAGAAATTCTTGAAATAAATGAGAGCAGCAGTAGCAGCAACACACAACTAAATGTAGAAAACAGTATTGGGGAAGGGAAGTGGCTGTAAGCCATGAAGTAATCGTCAACGTTCGAATAGAATCCGAAGTTGCCGCATACTACTACTACGGAGGTCTTACCCTGTCTGTGGGATACATGAGCATTTGAGCATTTGATAGAGGTACTTTCATAACACAAGTCCAAAGGCGAACAATTGTTTTCGAAAGATTCATGATCATGCCTGCACAAATCCCATAAGGATTTGTTATTAGTGGGGACACATTTTCACGCCGGGTCGAATGCTCATTTGGGATGGGGAGATGGGAGGGGTGGGGTAAGCCGTTTGGGTCTGTGTTCGAGTGAAACTGATCGTGATTGAAGTGTTGGTAGTGGTAGTGGTGATGTTGATGATCAAGTTGGGGCCAGGGTAAGTGGAGAGCTTGAACCAGTCGCTTTTGTGCAC